GATGTGGGACTCGATCCCAGGACCCTGGGATCATGACCTGAGCCGAAGGCAGATGCTTAATGACTGAGCCACCCAAGCGCCCCAGAAGCAGACTTTGACATGGCAGCCGCAGCACCTGGAAGCTGTGGTCCAGTTGTTGTTAGGTGCATGCTAGTTCGATTGGCTGCCCCTCGGGGAGCAGGGAGAATGCGGGAAAGCTTGGTAGAAGCTTGCCACTTCTGGGTGTTGGGGTCACAAGAGGGGCCAATACACTGTCCTTTCCAATCTGGAACTGAGACCCATTCACAAAAGAACATTTGAAGGACAACTGGAACCTACTTGGGAAGCCTGAGACTGTGTATCCGCATTTCCTCCTGTGTCCTTACTATGCGGCAGTTGAACAGTTAAAGAATGCCCCACTTCACTAGCTGTTTCGTGTTGACACAGAGCCTTAACACCTGTTACCCCCGTGGAAGCTCCAACCCAGTGGAAAGCTGCGGCTTATGCTAAAGGCAGCCACACAGAGCAGGAACGGTGAACCTCTCCAGCCCTTCCCAAGGCAGTGGAGGGCTATGAAGCGAGCCTGGTTTGTGGCTGTTGGTGAGGTGTAAAGTTACACGGGGTCAGGGGGATTCTGCTTGCCCTGGAGCTAGGAGGAGGCCACCAATAGGCAGGCTGTAGAATTTGGCTGCTTTGTGGATGGGGAAAGGAAGCTCACTGCATTTTTCATTTGCCAGATCATATAAACTCTGAATTTTCTGATTATAGACCTGATTTGGTTTGTGTTTCTGTCTCTGTGGTTTAATCTTGAGAAGGACCACTTACCTATTGGCCCAGAAGGAGCAGCAACTTGGACCTGGGGAGGAGCTGTTCCTTTTATTAGCAGTGACTCTCTAGGAGAGAAGACAGTCTAGTCATAAATAAGCAGGACAAACTGATAAATCTAAGATATGTATTCGCAGCACCACCTGGCACAATAATAACTTGCAACGTCTGCCGGCCCTTTCTAGTAAGCAGACTGCTTTTATCTCATCTGTTATTTTGTCCAGGTGTCCTCGGCCTTGGTGGATAGAATTAGCTCCATTTCACAGGGGAGAAAACTAAGGCTCCAAAATTTAGTAGCTTATTTAAGTCCCACTGAGGGAGAACTGGGTCAGGAATCTGGGTCTGCACATTCCTGGGGACAAGTCTGTCTGCCGCCCCAGTGGGATAGAATACTCTCCTGGCCTGCCCTCCTAAGATCTGGGAGGGACACTTAGACAGGAGCTCTTTCTAAATGGTCTCACTAGCCGCGTTGATCAGTGCCCCACCTTTGTTACCACTGAACCCTAGAGGCTGAAAGTAAACACATTAAGGAGTTTAGGCTACATTCATTCCCACATTTGTTCCCAGGACGAACATTATGGAGTGCAGGCTTTAGGCCAGCTCATTACTACTTCTTTGGAGGTCACCGACTCCGTCTGGACAAATCTGTCTCTTTCTGACTTGAGTTTTGGAAAAGGGCTAGGAATGAAGTCCCCTTCTCCAAAGGGAATCCAAACAACCACTAAGTAGCAAGGTTGTGAGGGAAACGGCCCCTGTTGAATGAAGTGGGGCGGGGGCGTGATGTTGGCTTCCGACCCTGAGATTTTATGATTCTGCTCCAGGATCTCCTTCCCCTGAACTTTTGTGGGTGTACACACACGCGCGCACACACACGTGCATGCACACGCACACACTCACGCCCCTCACACTCACGGTCTTTAGTTTAGCTATGCTGCCACCAGGTGGTAACTCCGTGTCTTTGTTATCAGACCTTCAACTTTGCTCCCAATTCTCTTGAGAATTTTTTGTTCAAGACAGATTTAAACCATCAGCTTCCTCACATTACTATATAAGAAATAAGTATCTTTATTAAGGGTAAGCGTATGCAGACACTAAATAGAAATGAAGGCTGAAACTGACCCAGTGGGGCAAAGGGAGGCCGAAGGCACCGGCTGAGTTCTATTGCTCCTATTCCTCCAGGTGTATGGGAACTGTGTCGGGGACGTAGGCACTTAGTGACAGCATGCTGGATTAAAGGCGTTAAAGGCTAATAAGATAAAATCCCCACCACCCACAGTGACCGTGCTCCCCTCTGGACCTGGATAGCCATGGGTCACGCTCTCCTGGGGGCAACTGCGAGCTGATGGCTTTGCACTCTGGTTATGTGCTTCTCTGGTCCTTCTCTGGTTACCGGCTCCCACCTCCGTTAGGAAGCACTGTTGTCCACAATGATGTGCGCAATAGGCACTCAACTATGTCTTGAATTTGAGAGTGACAGAAAATAGAAAGTCGTTCTGGGTTTTGTGGGGTGGAGTAGTTTGGTTGACATTCTGGTGCAAAGACTTTCCTGATAGGTGGTGGTGAGACATCTGTTAGACGGCCCTGAGCGCGAGACGTCTCGGGCGGTAGTGGCTCCTCCAGGCGGCCCTTTCCTTCCCCGTCTCCTCTAATTTGCTCACACTGTTCCTGCTGCCTTCTCTTTTCTCGGCTTGGAAAATGCCCGGAGTCCTTCACAAAGCCCAGACACCTCCCTGTCCATATTCATGTGCTTGTTCCTCCCCTGTTTGT